AATATGGAGTGTAGAACGTCTTAGAAACCTACTCATCGGAATAAAATTTAAGATCATTACAGATTGTCAGGCGATCGTATTTTTAAACAATAATAAAAGTACCAACCCCCAGACTGCACGTTGGTTTAGTACACTACAAGAGTATGACTATGCATTTGAATTTAGGAAAGGAGATCGAATGGCCCATATAGATGCTTTAAGCAGAGCACCTGTAGAAGAATCAACTGATACACACGATCAACTCCTAGATAAAAGACTAACAGTTCTTACTACACTAACTGAAGAATCCCAAATTATTATGACCCAGAGAAGTGATGAAAAACTAAAACCCATTATAGATATATTAACAAAAACTTCCAGAGAAAGAAGTAAAGAAGAAATAAATATGACAAAAGAATATAAGCTAATCTCAGGAAGATTGATGGTAACTAAAATAATAAACGGAGAAGAAAGAAAACTATTTGTAGTACCCAGTACAATGAGAAAAAGTATTCTTGTAAAGAATCACGATTTAACCGGACATTTTGGAGTTGACAGAACTGTTTCAAGAATTCTAGAGAAATTTTGGTTTCCTAAATTAAAGAGTTATACAAGAAGACATATTTCAAGTTGTATGGAATGTATAATTAACAAAGTACCTTCAGGTAAACAACCAGGGTTGCTAAATCCAATTCCACCAACTAATAGACCATTTAGCAGAATTCATATCGATAATCTTGGTCCATTTATTAAATCATCCAGAGGAAACCAGCACCTTTTTGTAGTAATAGACTCCTTTACACGATTTGTCAATTTATATCCTATTCGAAGTACCAAAAGTACTTGTGTAATAAGAGCAATGGAAGACCTTATTTTTAAGTTTGGCATTCCAAACACTATAGTATGTGACCGTGGAACCTGTTTCACAGCCACCAGTTTTAAAGATTTTTGCATCTCCAAGGGCATCAAGTTAGTATTTAATTCCCCTCGACACCCACAAGGAAATGGAATGGTTGAGAGAGTAAACAGAACTCTTATACCAGTCATACAAGCAGAGATGAAAACAGAGAAAAGTTGGGACCAATGTTTAGGAAAAGTTCAATGGAATCTGAACACCTCTATAAACAAGACGACTAGACAAGTTCCGTATAAATTACTATTTGGTTACATACCTAGTTTAGACGACCCCAGATTAGATGCTCTAACTGAAGTTAATCCCACAACATCTCTAGTTAATTTGAGAGAAATTGCCAAAGAAAATATGATTAAAGGACAGCAGAAAATGAAAGAACAATTTGATAAGAAAAGATATATTGGACATGAATATGATATAGGAGAAATTATTGTAGTCAAAGCCTCACCTACAGCTACTGGAGAAAGTACAAAATTACAAAAGAAATATAAAGGTCCATATGTAGTACTGAAAAAAATGCCAGGAAATACATATCAGATAGAAAAACTATGTAGTGAAGATGGAGAACGACAGCAGATTACAACAGCCCATGTTTCCCAAATAAAAGGCTATTACAACTCATATGAAAGTGACGAAGACATAACTACAGATGAAGAAAATGAATCCGAATCCATGTCAATACAACCTAAACTAGACGAAAAACCCAATGAGAAGAACAGCGCTAAAAAGAAAGCGAAATTAGAAGATATGGATGATGATCAAGCAAGCGAGACGGAAATTGTAGAAAAGAAGAGAGAAAAACGAAGACCTAATAAATTTAAAGACTATATTTGCTATTAAGCCTTCAGCTATTTTTGTGTTCATGCTAAAATTTAAATTTTTTTTTGTTCTTTATATAAAAAAAAAAAAAAAAACTTTTTTTAGGATTATTACTTTAAATGCGAGGTCGCATTTTTGTCAGGATGGACGAATGTTAGAACCTCTATAAAATGCCTAATGTTATTATTTTTAAGTTGGTACTGTACAATGACAGATGACATTCTTGACATTATGTTTATTGATTATTCTGTGTGTGAAGCCCACTGTTGCTATTACAATAAAAGTTAATCCTGATTTTATTTAATTAATCCTGTGTGGATAATTTACCTGTGTGATCTTATGTTCAACCCTCGGTCAGGTTTATTACATGATGTACAGCTGGTACGTTCTGCGGGCATTTCCTTTTGCAGCTACATGAACCCTTAATATACTTCTACATTAATATACTTCTCTTTTTTTGTTTTTTCTTTCCAAAGGGCAAATTCCATACTTTTTTTTCTTCCTAGGTTTTCCTTTTTTTGTATATTCTTTTGATTCCGCAATTTCTTTTATTTTGGGTTTTTAGAAGAATATCATCCTCTTTTTTAGCTAAAGAAGAATGATTGAATTCAGAATAATCACAGTTGCTGGAATTACTAATATATTAGATATAACGTCAATTTGTTTAGAACTGCCCGAATCCCGTGGTTCAGTTTTATCCTCGGTTTTATCTTTATCAAAAATTGACATTTAAATTTAATAAAACCTGATCCAAAATATCCGATAATATATCATTAAAAACATATGCTTCTGTCGTATCACTCATATCTACGTGACATTGTGTATCTAAATACAATGGCGAAACACACATCTGTGGACTTTTTTGTAATGTCAAATATTTGGTTGTCTCAGAATTTTCATAAAGCTCTGCTTCATAATCACTGTCTTCATCTTTTTTTTTCTTTGGTTGTCTCTTCCTCTTAAAAGAGTCAACTTTATCTCTAAATTCTTTATTCAGGGCTAGTGAAAGTAATAATTTACTGCTACTGTTCGCCATCTTATAACAATTTTAGCTGAAAATTACACATCGTAAGTATCTATAGAGATGTAAATAAAAACAATGAAACTTACCTTTGTAAATCAAACAATACAAATTAAAAAAAAAAAAACTTTTTAAACTACAGAAATAAACGTGGTTCACGCTGTGTTCGATCACTTTTTATTTAGAGGTTAACACAATATGCCGCGAAAACATTTGTGACATAACCCCAATCGTTTTGTTACGTATCATTTATGCTAAACAGAATTGTCCTAAGTTTAGTAGACAGGACTAATTTAACTAGCATCGAAACACATTTCCGTTAATGTTTACTTATTGCTAAGCTTATTTGTCTTAAGTAAAAAACTATTTTCAAATAGAGCAAACTGATTTTGAAAATTTGTATACATAGAGCGTTTTCTAACTGTACCAATATCAAAAAAATATAAATTTTGCAGTTAGGGCAACTACTCTTAGGAGGGCAATATATCCCTGTTACCAGTATTATCTAAACTTTTCGAAAAACTTTTACTAAAAAGATTCAAACCACTGATAGGCAGTAAAAATATAATACTTGTTCACCAATTTGGTTTTAGGAACAAGCTTCTACTGTTGACCAAGTCCACAGAATAACGAATGAAATAGAGAAAATACTGGAAGAAAAGATCTGCACCTCATTTTAGATGTAGCTCAGGCCTTCGATAAAGTATAGTTAGAGGAGGGCCTTGAATATAAAATAAATAAACTTCTACCTAGGCAATATTGTGACATCTTAAAATCTTACTTGACTGATAGAATCTTCCGAGTAAAACAAGAAGAATATTCCAAGCGTAAAGAAACTAAAGCAGGGGTATCTCAAGGAAGTCTTCTGGGACCAGTTTTTTACATGTTGTTTACCTCCAACATACCACAAACGCAAAATGTAAAAGTAGCCACATTTGCCGACGACACGGCCTTACTGGCCGTCGGTTAAACCATAGAAGAATCGACCAGAAAACTGCAACATGCAACTAATAAAATCTATAAGTGAATAAAAAGATGGCGCATTATGCTCAACGAAATTAAAACAGTTCAGGTTAACTTCTCTAATAAAAGATCAGTAGAATACCTACCAGTGACATTAAATAATACTAGAATACCATATTCCAATTCGGTGAAATACTTAGGAATGAACCTAGATATTAAATTAAAGTGGAAAGACATATAAAGAAAAAACTGGAAGAGTTGGGTATTAAATATAGAAAATTATACTGGTTGATGAATAAAAAATCAAAACTTTCAATCGAAAATAAACTTTTATTATATAAACAAGTACTGAAGCCAGTATCGACTTACGGCATACAGCTCTGGAGTGTGCCAGTAAAACTAACATAAATATAATACAACGTTTCCAGAACAAAATATTAAGGGCAATAGTAAACGCCCCTTGGTATGTTAGAAACTCAGACCTACACAGAGATCTGAGAATGCCTACAGTCGAAGAAGAGGAGAAAAACTATCACAATAAAAAACCTGAAAAACGACTGCATGATCATGTCAACATAGAAGTTCTACAGTTCCTGGACAACCGGTACCTAATGAGAAGGCTCAGAAGGATCAAACCATTTGAATTAGTGATGTTAAAGTGTGTTAAAGCAGAGCACAGTGCGCGTGTGCAGTGTATAGTTATCAGAACAGGAAGGAGAAGAATACCATTTGTCGAACTCTTAGTTTTAAGCCTCTTAAGTTTACTCAAGTTTATAATAAAGACAAATTGCTGGTTGGCTGAAATATAGCTAGATGCAATGCAAACTAACAAAAAAAAAATGTCTGAGCTGTATTCTTAATTAAATATTGGTGTAAACTAATTGAATGGACTGTATATGAATGAACTAAATGCTGATTGCGCCTCCTTAAATGTTAACTTTCAATGTCTCCGAAATTAATTTCCCTTGTTGTAACTTATTGTAATCGGTTGACAAGGCGTCATTAAATTAGAAAAATAAAATGTCTCAAAACACTTAACCCATAACCAATATACAGTACGAATAATTTTAAACACGTATGCTAATTTTTAAAACGGAATTTGCAAAACTCGTAGGTATTCTTTATTTTTCAATATTTTCTTAGTGAAATGTTTTAAAATTTTTATGTCCAAACCGATTAAAATGTTTTTTTAACTCCTTTCAGATTAATTTATAACAATTGTAAGAGTAGAAATGAGGACAGTCTTAAATTGTAACAGTGTCGTTGTTCGTTTCAGACTCCCTTTAATAATAATATTTTTTTTAGCCCGCTTCACATTTCTGCCAGAAACGGATTAGTTGACGTTACCAGGCAATTACTAAAAAAGGGAGCTTCAGTCGTAGCTGTAGACAATGAAGGTCTAACTCCTGCTCTTTCTTGTGCACCAAATAATAATGTTGCACAATGTTTATCATTGATTTTGCAAACGCTTCCTAATATGATTAGTAAAGAAAATCAAGACGGTAAGAATTGTTTACATTAAAAACGAATTGTATACATATTTATATAGAAAATAACTAATACTAAGTCTCGCAGGTATTTTATCTAAACGAATGAATGTATAATTATAAAATTTTAGGGTGATGA